TTTACCATGGTATTGAGGTGCTATATTTGTGGTTTTAACTATGATTATCATGATCTAAATGTATGCTACTATGGAAGACCAATGGTTAAAAAAAAACAAAAAAAACACTTCAAACAGTCAGAATAATTAAATTTCACCATATAAAAATGAGATTGCTACAATTTTTACAGATATTACTGATTTTGATAATTAACATAAATCTATATCTGCATCCTAACTCAAGCTACTATCAAATGTGTATTTCTAAGAGACAAAATTTTTTATAGGCCTATTATTAATATTATCAGGCAACACAAACTTGTTTCTTGATTTGAAACGATATTACTCAAAACTAGAACATGCAGAACTAAGAAATTATTTTTTTCTATTGAGATATTAATTTTGTTAAGGGAAAATGACTGGAAAAGTGTAAAGAATTCAAAAAGTGTTTGTCATGTTCTGACCATAAAGAATAGTTTAAAACCACAATTAACCATCTGGTTTTTACAACTTTCACATTGGAGCAAAAATCTGCCTTTAAAAAAATCTTACTGACTTACCAGAAAAACATCTTTCAAAAACATTTAAAAATCATAACTTTTTAACAGTAGTTTATTTATACACTGTATAAAGAAAATATTGGTATGCATATTTAATGATATGCATTTAAAAATGTATCTATAAATAATCTGATTCTGGCATGGTCATGAAACTTAATGGTCACAAAAGTGAATTAAAAACATGGTAATAATCATGCCGTTGCCTAATTTGCATCAGCAAAAACGTTGCAAATATACATAGTGAATATCTTATATATTGCCTGGTTTACCTAAACTGTTCTTTTGTTGTTTTAAACACTACAGAATAAGCAGACTACAAATAAACACGCCTTTGATTTCCTCTTTGGCCTGTACTTTTAGTTTCTCACGTAACCTTTTCTGTTTCTCTCTTTCTGCTGGATGGAGTGCAGGAATCCCTCCACAGCTTTCTTCCAAGCCTTCCAGTCTGGCAGTAGGCTGAAGGACTCAAAGATGACCTGTGATAGGTACAGTAATGGGACGGCCCCTGGTGTGAAGGCAAATGACGGTTGAAGTGTGCTGCATGGGCCAGGCATGGCTTGAGGCTTAAACGGTGCTTTTTGCAGTGGAGCTCAGCGCAAACATAACACGGTGCTCATACGCAAATTGCAATATTGATGAATGTGGGCTAAAATATGATATTGAATCATGTTTCAAAAACATTGCTTTTTCACTAAAGCAATTAATTAACGGAGCGTTTTATGCAGCGGAGTGTTACAGTGTCTGCCCACTTTGTTCCTGAAGTATTTTATACTTAAGGGTTACACTTTATTTTACAGTTTGTGTTCTTACAGTGTACTTACCCAAGAAATACTGGGTTGTATAAAGTAACTACATGGGTTAAGTGTAGGTTCAGGGTTAGTACCTAGTTATTACCCAGCTATTGTAATTGCTATAATAATGTAGAACAGAACTGTAAAATAAAGTGATACTGATTTAAAGGCACAATATGTAAGTTTTCGCCGCTAGAGGTCGCATTTTCAAAACAATAACAAAAGCAAAGCTTGATGACGCTATCCACCTTTTTCTTGCCGTAAAAATGGGCGCGGCCATTTGTAAATTCTGTGGGTCTAGCTTCCGGTCTCATCCGCGTCCAGCTATTTTTAGCTGTACAGAACCGCTGCTTGATATTGAAAATTGGTGTGTCTTACCATATTATTTTAATGTATTATCTTAATTATGAACACACTGGTTTGTAGTGCAAACAGTTTTACCG